GACGAGAAAACGTAATTGTTTCATCTGAAGCAGTCATGGTCACATTCACTTGGTGATGTTTCTAAAAAGAATTTATATATACAAAAAAAAAGTATGAAATGTATTGTGAGAATCGAACTTACTATTCAGTCGCATTCGAGTTCGCTCAGCATTGCAGCAATCGAAGCGCCCGGTCGATTTACTAAGCGTTGGTTAAAGTGGAACAAGGCCGAGAGTAAGGAGTACACTGTGAGGATCGAACTCACGACTCAATCGTAACTGCTCGAGCGAGACTACCTGTAACATTCGATTGGTTTAATCGATTTTCCGTTTACAAACGTGTAGTCTGGGATGTTTATCTCTAGGTGGGACTTGTTAATTTTCAAGAATAAAATGTTAAAAGAAATCGTTAGACATATAGAAAGGCATAAGCGGCGATAAACGGTAACATTATCTCTCGAATGACGAGATAAAAAAGAAATTCCAATCACCTGAAGAAGGCCGGAGTGTACAAAGACCGAAACGTTGAGAATGTAGAAATGAAGATGAAGATATCTGTACGAATAATATTTATTAATGGCCTATATTTTTTTTATTTTTCTTTCTTGTGTTTTTAGGAATCTTTCTTTGTTGCTCATCTTATATTTTCTTTCAGTGACGTTTCTCTTTCATGATTTCATTCCTTTCTTTTTATGTCCTGTTTCTTTCTTTCTCCTGCCTTTTTGTTTTTCGAAATTATTTTTATTTTCTTTCATTCAATGGCGTCTTATTTTCAGGTTATCTTTTACTTTCTTTGTTCTTTCTATATCCCATCACCTTTTTTTTCTTTCTTTTATAGTTTCCTTCGTTATTTTCTTTCTTTCAGAGCTGTCTTTCTTTTTTTCTTTCTTTTATAGTTTCCTTCATTTCTTTCTTTCTGGAAAGATCTGTTTAATTTTTTTTTCTTTTTTATTTTCATTTTTTATTTTCTTTCATTAATTTTTTTTTAATTTCAGACATTTAATTTTTTTTTTATGGTTTTTTTTCTTTTAGTTTTTTTTCTTTCTTTGTAATTTTTTTCAATTGAAAATGTTTCTTTTTTTTCCCCCAGGAATTTCTTTTTTAAAAAATATATTTTCCATTTTTTTCTTTTTTTTAAAAAAATCTCATTCTTTTTTGTTTTTTTTTTTCAAATTTAAAAATTTTTTTTTTTTTAATTTTTATTGTATTTTTCAGTTCACCTTTCGAATTAAGAAAAAAATTTTTGTTTTTATTCTTCTATTTTTTTTTTTCTTATATTTTTCATTAAAAAATGCTTTTTATTCTTTTAAATTATTTCATTTTTCTTTCTTTTTTTTTAAAAATTTCATTAAAATTTCTTTCTTTTTTTTTTAAAAATCAAGAAAATTATCTTTTTCTTTTTTTAAAAATCAATTTTCATTTCTTTTAATTTTCTTTTTTTTTTCTTTCTTCCTAACATTATTTTTTTTCCTTTTTTTTTTTTTTTTTATAAATTATTTTAACTTTTTTTTTTTTTTTTTATTTTTTTTTTCTTTTTTTTTTTCTTAGAATAATTTTAATTTTCTTTCTTTCGTAATTTTTTTTTTTTTCTTTCATAATTTTTTTTCTAATTTTCTTTTTTTCTTCTTTATTTTTCTTTCTTTTCTTTCTAATTTTCTTTCTTTTTGGAATTTTTTCTTTCTTTTTTTTAATTTTCTTTTTTTAATTTAATTTTCTTTTTGAATTTTTTTTTTTAATTTTTTTTTTTTTTAATTTTTTCTTTTTTTTTCTTTTTTTTTAAAAATTAAAACAATTTTTTTTTTTTTTTTTTAATTTTTTGTTTCGTTAATTCTGTTTTTTTTTCTTTCTTTTTTTTTTTTTTCTTTTCTTTTAGTTTTTTTTAGCAATTAATTTTTTCTTTTCTTAATTCTGTTTTTTTTTTTTTTTTTTTTTTTAATTTTTTTTTTTTTCCTAATTTAAAGCTTTTTAAATTTTTTTTTTTTTTTCTTTTTCTTTTTTATTTTGAGAAGGAAATTTTCTTTTTAATTGGATTTTTTTTTTTGATTTTTTTTTTCTCTTTTTTTTCTATTTCATTTCAAACTTTTTTTTTTTTTCTAATTTGATTTTCTTTTCATAAAAAAATTTAATTTTTATTTTGTTTTCTTTTTTTTTTCTTTTTTTTTTCTTTTTAAAAATTAACTTCTTTTGTTCAAAATTTTCATTTTTATTTTTTTTCTAATTTCTTTTTTTAATTTTTTCTTTTTTTTTTTTTCTTTATTTCTTTTTTCTTTTTTTTTTTTCTTTTTATTTAAAATTACCTTTTTTCTTTTCTAATAAAAAAAAATTTAAATTTTAAATTTCTTTATAAAAAATTTCTAATTTCTATCCTTATCATATTTATTCTTTTCTATTTAGAAATTTCTATTTTATTTCTTTCCCCCTTTTTTATTCAAGGTGAAATATTTTAAAAATCAAACAGTTAAAATTAAACCCATTGTATAACCCTTAACGCAATGCTAGAACCCGATTCGCCATTAAATCATTTCTCGGAAATAAACTGTCAGTGATTACAATTGACACCATCTTATCATATCACGTAAATAAATAAAAATTACATGATATACCTTAAAATACTAAATAAAACCTCTAAATTATGTTATAAAGAAAGAATCGGAGAAGCCAGACGATAAAAAAAGAAAAAGGAACCATCAATGAAGTAACACATACCTTTCAATTGGCACACTTGTGCCATTCAATTATTTTGCCTGCAAGCGTTAAAAATTCACGGTCATCCTTTTTTTTGTCAAGATAATGCCAAAAAACGAAAGTTCGTCCAATCAGAATGTTAATTACGAACCAAAATTACAAATCTAATTTCTTTAGCAACCCACAAGCAGCAGACAATAAAATGGGTCATTAAAATTTCAAATTCTTTAAACATCAATAAAATAATACCTTCCATTTGTTTAAATACATATTATCTAATCATCTTAAACAAAATATTTGGCCTTTCATCGTCATGGCTGATTCTAATCTCCAGGCGAACCTTCTTAGTCGTACATTTTGCATTGATATGAAGTAGAACGATTATATTGAATTAACTGCTAAGTCTTATGTTTGGAAAGTAGATTCACTATGCCGTGCTGGACAATTTTTAAATTAGAAAATAGAAATGGTTTTTTTTTTTTTACTATTTTTACGCCTACATTCCACTATTCATCCATTAAACATGTCACGTGGAACTAGAACAGTCTACCACATTGACCGAAATAAAGGGTTCAGTTCGACATTCCAACCACCTGAAGAAGGCCGGAGCATAAAACGACCGAAACGTTGTAATAAATATGGCGGAAAAAGATGAGGAAAATAGTCCGAATAATTTAAAAGAAAATACAATACTTCATCTCAGAAATATAGACAGATAATGTTTGAATTTCTTTTACATTTTTCTCAATATATATATATATATATATATATATAATAAGAATATATATTCTTCAAAAGAAATTCATGCCAAAATTTTTTTAACAGGGCGATCCCATTTAATTTAAACGGCAAGGTCTCATTAAAAAACAGTTGAAATGGACTCATTTAACCGTAAGTTCTATGGTAACAGTTTCTTCTATTTCACTTCTCGTTTTCCAGTCAACCTTGATCTTCAAAAGTTTAAATATAATGCCAATCGTTATCTTCTGTCTTCTTGATTCCACTTTTTGCATTTTCTCTTTTTTTTAATTTTTTCCTCTCAATTGTCCAACACTCAGTAATTTCAATTTTGTCTTTAGATTCTTTAATTTTAATTTCTTTGGGGAATGCTTTTTTGAAATGATCAATACGAAAAAAAAATTCCTTTCTTTCCTTTATACTCATTTATGTGTATTTAAAATGTTATAATATTTCCAACATGAATTATTTTGATCAAATTTTTTGGACTTTTTTTGTAATATTCATCCATTTGAATATAAGAGACAGGGATATAGGAGAACCCCGGATATAAGAGAGATTTTTTTTGATCCCAAAGTGTTTAAAATAGAAACCTAAACAAAATAGAACCAAACCCGGATATAAAAGAAACCCGGATATAAGAGATTTCTTCTCGGTCCCGCCAATTCTCTTATATCAAGTAATTGTGTAAAATCGATGTTTTTTTTTTTTTTTTGGTGGTTTGGTTCGTCAAAAAAAAAATTTTATTTTGAATTTTTTTTAAATTTATTTTACATTCTTATCCTGCATATTTGTTATCTATAAATCTATTTAAAAACCGATTTATTTATTTTCTTTAAATAATTCTTTTCCTTGCTATTCGTCAGTATCACTTCTCGAAATACACGAGTTAAGATTTGTTTTTTTTCATTCACTAATTAAAAATGTTCCTTTCATTCTTGTGAGTCTATCATTTCGATCCAGAAAGTCTTTTAAGATAAACTTGGCTGCCAGTCGCTTCTTTATTGCCAGTATTGCGGATATTAGAATGACTAAAATGGAAAGAGCCCCTTGGCATGTGTGGGATTTGGAAAAGTCTATTTTTCGTTTAAGATAACAGAAAATTCAGTTTAGTACACTTCTTTTTAGTGTTTACGTTAAAGTTTTCGTAAATCTTTCAAATAAATGAGTTACAATAAGATTGTATCAAATGTCAGTTTATTTTTCTGGGAATGATTTGAAAGAAAATCAGATTGGAGATCACTGGAAAAAGGTGAAATAAGAATAATTAAAAGTTTAACTTTTTCCAACTAAGAAAAAGAAAGAAAGAATAGAAAAAAAGGATAGAAATAGAGCGGAATAAAACGAGAATAAACAAAGGAAAGGAAGGAAGGAAAGAAGGAAGAAAGGATGAAATAATAAAAAACTAGGGGAATAGCGAATAAGGAAGGGAAATGTCGAGAAACGAAACAAAGGAAGAAAACATTGATATGAAAGGAAATCTAGCAGAGAAGTGGGAAAGAGACTAGAATAGAAAATGAAAGGATGAAATTTCAAAAAAAAAAAATAAGTTCAAGCGCCAAACGATTTTTTCGTTTGAAACGAATGAAAACAAAAGTTTATGCTTTTTTCTTTGAAAGCAGAAACGTGAGAAAAAGAGCGGTATAGAAAATGGAACAATGAAGAAAGAAAGAAGAAAGAGAAAAAGAAAGAAGCAGATAAAGAAAGAACGAAAAAGGAAAAACGATAGAAAAAAGAAAAAAATAACGAATGTGATATTCAAATTCAATCAAATAAAATAAAGGAAAATGGAATAGAAAAGGAAGAAAAAAGACAGACAGAAAGAAAAAGAATGAAAGAAATAAACAAACAAATAAAGAACAAAAACAGTGATAGGGAAGGAATTTAAGCAGAGACGTGGGAAATATTTTTTGGAATAAAAAAAAAACAAAAGGAATTTTAAAAAGAAAAATGATTTTGAGAGAGAGAGAGAGAAAGAGAGAAAGACAAAAAAAAGTGATACAAAAAGGAATTAAAGTATAAAGAGAATGATTCCTTTAAAAAATATAAAAAGGTTGAAAAAGAAAAGAAAGAAAGAATCAGCGAACAATGGATAAAATCAATGAAAGGTTAGATTCCAAAGAAAATTAATAAGAAAAACTGAATAAAAAAAATATAAAAAGATAACTTAGAAAAACGAGCTAAGAAATACATGATGAATTTTAAAAGGTTTGTCAAAGAAATTAGTTCAATTTAAAATGGAAATTCAAAAAAAAAATGGACAATTTTATAAAATAGAAAAAAAAAATAAAAAAAGAAATTTAAAAAGAAAAAAAAAAGAAAAAAGAAAGAAGATTTTTGAAAAAAAAAGAAAGTTTGTTTTTTTAGAAAGAATAAAAAAAGAAAAAAAAAAAAAGAATTGAAAAAAAAAAAAAAAAGAAAAAAAAAAAAAAGAAAAAAGAAAAAAGAAAAAAAAAGAAAAAGAAAAGAAGAAAGAAAAAGTTTTCCAATGGAAAAGAAAAAGAAAAAAAAGAAAGAAAATTAAAAAAAAAAAAAAAATAAACAAAATTTTAAAAAAGAAAAAGAAAAAAAGAAAAAAAAATTATAATTGGTGCATAAAAAGTAAATGTACTTGAAAAGAAAAAAAGAAGAGAATTAGATTTAAATATATTAGATGAGAAATACAAAAAAAAAAAGGAAAGAATGAATCCATAATTTAAATAAAAAAAAGATTATAAATTGCTTTTGAAAGAAAATGATCCAAATACTTATGAAAAGAATTTAAAAACTTTCGAACACTAATGAATTGAAATAGGAAAAAATGTAAAAAAATAAAATAATGGACAAGAGAAAAATTATTTAGGAAGAAATAAAAATGAAGGAAAACTGTTGTGTATGATACACCTAATTTACATAAGTGGAGTACCGACCATATAAATATGGGTTGGTACCGGAAGAGGGGGAAGATTAAGAGATCGAATCCAGAGACTCTGCCCGACTGCGATTTAGTCAACCCATTCTGCAGGAACAGTCTTCCCAAGAATATACCAAAACTAACTGTAAATATTGTGTACCTTTTTTTCCTTGTTTCAATACATTTTGTTTACGTACATTTTGTGTTGTATTATTATTATTCCATGCTTATCCAAGTTTCAACAATATAAATAGAATGATTTGGGAAATTGGTTTTAAAAAAAAAACTTTTACATTTGTGTACACGTAACATAAATTGAATTAGGAGAAAAAGGCAAAATGAGGCTGGAAAGAAAAATCTGTATCTGATTATCAAGGCTCTCCTCCACCCACACAAGACAGAAATAAAAATATGAAAAAATGCTCTAAATGCTCCGGGAAGGAGGGGGGTTATCGTGTGTTGAGTGTGTGTTGGAAAAGGGGAATGTCAATCTCTCATAGCAACAAGATAAGTATGTGTCACTGTAAAGAAAAAATAAGAAAAGATGAAATTTGATCAGTGGTAAATAGAAGAAAGGAAGTAAACATCCCAGAAAAAATCAAAGTCTCTTGAAAGTGGTTTTGCCAGGGAATGAAAAAAAGAAAGAATTTTAAAAAAAAGAAAAGGAGAAGAAAGAAAGTTGAATGGGAAGAAAAGAAAGACTTAAGATTTTGTTTAGTTTTTTTAAATTGGAAAAAAAAAAAAACTTAAGAAAAAAGAATTCATGTCAACAAAGAAATTTTTCTGGTGACAATATCAACCACTGATTCTATTTCTCTGTTGAAAAAAAATGAATTAGAAAATCTCTTCAAATTAAAGATAAAAATCCATGGAGAAGAAGAAAAAAAGTTTTAAAATGAAGAAAAAAATGAAAAAGCTTTCTTGTGGCTTTTAAGAAAAAGTTTTAATTTCAAACTAATAGATTAAATTTAATAGAAACAAAATTCTTTGCTGCTGTATTTCAAAACTAAAGGAAAATTGACTGGAAAGATTTTCTGTTAGAAGAAGAAAACTAAAGGAGATTTTTAGCTATCTGTCATTAATATGTAAGAAGAAGAAAAGAAAGAAAAATCTTAAAAATAAAATAACTTTTAAACTTGGCTAAAAAAGAAGTTGAAATAACATTAGATCAATTTAAAGTTTAAGAAATGAAATGTTGAAAAAAACAAAGAAAATATTTCAAGTCAAAATATCATAGAAATGCATTTGTGGTTTGCTATTTAAAAACAATGTGCTAAAAGTAAAGAAATAAAAGTTAAAAAAACAGATGAACTTTAATCTAATGCTTTACTATGATGGACATAGAATAAAATTTCTCAAAGTAAGAATGGAACACTTTCATCTTGTTTTAATTTTACATTCTTTATTTTTCCTTCCAATAATCTCAAATTCCTGTGAAAATTGAATTCTTTTAAGCATATTTCATTTTTTTTTTTTTTTTTATATCTTTGATTTCAAATTTATTTGCAGATATCACCTCAAAATTGAAAAACATTTAATTTCCAAAAATTTTATTCTTTCAACAAAATAAAATGTTCTGAATATTTATATACATAGTAAAATAGAAAAATTATTATATTTCTACCAAAAAAAAAAAAAAATGAAAATTATTTTTAAAATTCTGTTTATTATACTATTGCCTGTACTAAAATTTTTACAAATTATGATTAGTAAAAATAGTTTTGCCAATTGCTTGATAATAATAATAATATCCTTAATGTCTATTGTGTTCATAAAAATTTTAGGTTTTTAAAAATTTTATAAATTATTATATTTAATTTCTTAGAAAAAAATTAATCTGAATTTTTCAAAATTATTATTGATTAGATAATCCCTTTTTCTTTTTTTAACTAGGCGGCCATAAAGTCATCTTGTTTTATAAAAGCAATTAAAATACTTTTGGTAATTAAATAAAATCATTTTTATTTTTTCATTTTTGAAAAAATTTCAAAGTTTTTAAAATTAAAATCTGTTTTAACAAAAAAGAAATTCAGAATTTGTTTTCACAGAAAAGTTCTGCTTTGAACTAATATAAATTTTTAAGCTTCAAACATTTAATTTCAAAAAAAAAAGATTAAATCTTCCTGGTACAAAAGGAAAGAAAAAAAAAATATAAAAAAAAATGCAAAAAACCCTTTTTTTCGTTTTGGGTTACATGATTTTGACATGAATTTTCCAAAAAGTTGGCTGGCAATTATTTGATTTTTGCAATTTTTTCAAATCAATTTGTTTTCAAAAAACATTAAAAAAAAGTTAGCTAAAACCAATTATCAGTTAATTTTTTAAAATACTAAATTTTTTCAAAAAAAAATTCAAAAAAAAAATTTAAAATAATTCCATTAATTCAAAAAAAGGAAAAATATATATTAAAAACAAATTTGAATATTATTAAATGGTCATTTTAAAAATATTTTCTTGGATATTATTAATTCATATTTATTTAGAAACGGGCAAAAAATTATTATAGTTTTTAAAATGTAATACTCTTATTTTTTTTAAACTGTGAAATCTTCTCCATTTTGGTTGTTTCTTCAACTTGTGAATCTGCATTTAAAGAATTGATTTAATTTCTTTTGGAAAACATTTTTTATTATTTATTAATTTTGAAATTATTAACATTTATTTGGAATTTATTTCAATTAATAACATTTGAATTATTATTGATAAAAAAACCAGAAGTAATGGATATTTATTTAGAAAAGCTGTTTTTACTCTTTTAAACTGGTTCTGTTCATTTCTCCATTTTCAGTTGTTTCTTTTTTTTGTTGCTATCATATTATACTTTGAATGATGTCAGTTATTTGGACCCAAAAGACAAATGAGATGTAACATCATTAATACTATATATATATTCTTATGGAAATATATTTCTCATTAATAACAGTTGATTTTAATAATCAATATTATAATTCTTTTTCTGAAACTAAATCGTCTTTGAAAGTTAAATAAAACAAGGTTTCCAGTTTTCTTGGTAGGTTTTTTTGAGATTTGTCCAAAGATTCCAACAACATTGGCTATAACTTTCAATTTGCAAATTGAAATTTATCAACCTATAGATATTTATATATATATATATTTAATTGTTGCAAAGCAAATTTTTTTTTTTAATCCTGAAGTTTATAAGAAAAAATATAATAAAACAAGTCCAAAATTTTTTGTTACAACTTATAAAAATAAAATAAGATAAAAAAAAAAAAAAAAAAATATATACAAATGTGAACAAAGCTCTGTTCACCGGGATAGATTTTAAGCATGAAATAAGGTTCAAAGTTGAGAATTTGCTAGGCTTGACTAGTAAAAAATAGTTACCTGATTGAAATCTGGGAAAAAATATTTAAAATAACGTAATTTGTCAGACAAATTTTAAATCTATTTTTGGCAGCAAACAAATAAAGTTTTCTGATAAAAAAGAATTTAGTAAATATACAAAAATATTTCAAAAGGTCTAAGACAAAGATGTTTTTTGTGACCGGACTTATTCAACCTAAATTTTTTGGCAGGATCTAAGAAATTATTTTATTATATATATATATTTTATATATATATATATATATATATATATATAGAAATTATTGTTGATGTACACAGTGTCTTACATCAAATAATTTGGCAGAAAAGATCTTGAAAAGTCATTTAATAAAGACGTCTGTCTTTTTGGCAGGCATAGTAGGTAGGTGATTAAATCTTCCCGTTTTTATCAAGAATCATTTACATTGTAAAAAATGGCAGAATAGGGATTGAAAATTTTTAGTAAATGGACAAATAAATTGTTTAGAGTATTTTAGTGTGGTTCCTTTGGAGAAATTTATTGCTCGAATCCTGAAAAAGATTCTTCTAACGAAATGTTGAAAAAAAAGGGATATCTATAAATCTCATCAAAGAAATAAAAACTCAAATATATATATATATAATTTAAGTTATTTACAGAAATTTAAAAATGTAAGAATCCATTTTAAGTTTTGGGTTGTTTGATACATACATTTTGGTATACAAGATGAATAAATAAAGGTCAATTTTTTTCCATGAAGCTGGGACAGGCCTTGTTCAAAATAATATCATGAATTTTTTTTTTTTAAAAAAAAAAAAAAAAAAGAAACCTACAGAACAAAAAAAAAAAAATTTTTTTAAAAACGTAATTTTGATAATGAATTTTTAAATTGACAAATTTATAACATCGAAATAGGTAAATTGATAATGTTTAAAAAAATTAAAAAATAAAATTTTATTTTGAACTGAAACAGATTTTAAAATAGTGAACTTT